CCTCCCCAGGGCTGTCTGCTTTCCTTTGCCCCCTTGGCAAGAACAGGAGAGGAAAAAAGAATAATTAAACCCAAACATTCTGGTAACTTTTTCCTGGAACTCGAGGATGCAGGGCGGGAGGCTCTGATCCTGCAATAGTAGGTCGGACAATCTGTCGACCCCTGTCTGTCTCTCCACCCCCACCCTGCTCCCTCAGTGCTGGTGCTAGCACCCAAGGATTGGACCTCACCAGCCCTCCTGCTGATCCCGGGACCATGTCCTGACTCCCGAGGCAGTGCCTTTAAGGACCGGATCCCCTCCTGGACCCCTCCTGCCAGCACCCCCACCCTGATGTCCAAAGCAGATCAGGGGACTCATCCTGGAGCCTTCCTATACTGGGGTGAATAGTGGCCCCCAAAACACATGTCTACCCAGAACCTATAAACGTGACATTATTTGGCAAAAGGGCCTTTGTACATGTAATGAAGTCAAGGATCTTGAGATGCCATCATCCTGGATTACCCTGGTGGACCCTAAGTAAAATGACAGGTAAGACACAGAAGAGAGACACAGAAGAAGCTACATGAAGACAGAAGCAGAGACTGGAGTGATGTGGCTACGAGCCAAGAACACCTGGACCCACCAGAAACTGCAAGAGGCAGGAAGGATCCTCCCCTGGAGCTTCAGAGGGAGCATGGCCCTGCTGACCCCTTGATTTTGGGTCCCTGGCCTCCAGAACCATAAGAGAGTCAACCTCTGTTGCTGTAAGTTGCCCAGTTTGTGGTAGTTTGTTACAGCTGCCCCAGAACACTCATACATTTCTCTTTCCTGTGCTCCATCATCTCTTCCATGACTCTTCTTCCCTCTGTTGCCTCTTCGCTAAACCCAACGCCAGGCCAGCACTTACCACCCGCACTGCCCCTTCATCCAAGCCCAAGGCACCTCTTGGGTGAGCTTCCTGGGTGCCTGTAGGGCAAGCCCAGGCATGGGAGAGGGAAGGGGTTTCTGTGACCTTGGGGATTCTGCCAGGCGGGAGGCACAGGAAAATTGTGGAGGAGCAGGTGGTGGCTGAGGGCCTAGGCTACCCTGAGCCCTGGGTGGAGAGACGGGTGACTCAGGTGACTCACCTGAGACCAGGCCCAAGCAACAGGGCCACTCCAGACTTCTCTGCCTTCCCACCTGACTCTCTGGGTTTATTTGAGCACATCTTTCCTCTCTGGCCTCCAGATGCCCATGGGGGTGAAGCTTGGGCAGTGCCGGGGCGGTGGTGGCACTCACGGGAGATCGATCCAAGCTCGGGGCGCCAGCCGGTCCTCCTGGAGCCGGTTGTGGCTGAGC